ATCAGGAAATCCAGTACCCAGTTGCAGATAGAGTTGCATAAGCCCAGATTCCTGCGTTTTGGGACTAGCTTGGCGAGAACAATTGTGTTGAAGGCTGAACTGTAATCAGTAAACAGCATCCTAAAATAGGTATCCTGTCTGTTTAAATGTTCTAGGGCAGTGTGAAGTGCTATAAATATGGCATTATCAACTGATCTACAGTGTTTGGACGGTAAGCAAACTGAAGTAGGTCAAGGGAGTCTGGGATAAAGCAATTTGTAGGACAGTACTAGTCTTTCCAGACACTTCATTACCACTGAAGTGAGTGCCATGGGGCGGTAATCATTCAAGCAAGTTACCTTGGTCTTATTGGGCAGTGGAACAATTGTGGTTTTCTTAAAACACTCTGGTACAATTGACAGGGAAAGAGAGAGGTTAAAAATGTCTGTATGCACTGGAGAAAGCTGGTCTGCACAGGTTTTAAGGACACGAGGCGAGAAACCATCTGGGCCAGCTGCTTTGCGGGTTTTCACTCTCTTAAAGGCTCTACGCACCTCATGTTTAGAGAGCTGTAACACAAAGTCCCCTGGATCACAGGGAGCCTTGATAGAGGGCTCAGTGTTCTGAGCCTCAAAACAGGAGCAGCAGGTATTCTGCTCATCTGGTAGAGATGCTTCAATGGAGGAAATACTGCTGCTGTTGCCTTTGTAGTTCGTGAAACACAGCTTGCAAAAACACAGCTTGTTTTTGGAGTTTTATAGCTTTCTCCAGGTCGTACTTTGATTTTTTTATACAGTTCTCTGTCACCTGACTGAAAGGCAGCAGACCGTGCTTTAAATTTGGAGCAAATGTCTTTGTTCATCCAAGGCATCTGATTTGGACATATCCGGATCTTCTTGGTAGGAACACATCTATCCACACAGTAGTTGACATAGGATATGACCACCTCTGTATACTCATTTATATCAGTGGACAAATCTTTGAATATACACCAATCAGTCATTTCAACAATCTGAGAGTTCTTGCTCTGGGAGGGGGTGTTACGTCCCAGTATGTGGTCTGTGTGTTTTTGTTGTTATGTCCCACACTGCTGACTTTGATTGTTCTCCCTCCCCCATTGGCCCACCATTACACCACTGTTTCCATATGACATCATAATCAATCAGCTTCTCAGCCAATCAGAGTGCATCTTATTCAGTATATAACATGGAGGTTTTCAGAAAGGAGAGGCCTTTCGTTTGACTTCAGTCCCGCTCGGCTTTGGTTTTCGCTTCGCTTCGCTTCGCTTCTAGTTTTGCTTCGGCTTTGTTAGTTTGTTGTTTTGCTTTGTGTGTGTGTGTTTTCGTACAGCTTCGGCTTTGTTGTTTTGTTGGTTTCTGTTAGTCTCTTTGTACTTTCGTTTGTTTGTGTTTATCCTCGTTTTGCCATTACCTTGCCCAAACTTGTTATTGTATCAACCTCTGTGTTTTTTTGTACCCTGTTACTTGTCTACTCTTGTTTGTATTCGTAGTTCACTTGTGTATTTGTGTGAACTTTTGTGTATAGAGTTAATTCAAGTTGTTGGGTACATTTTTTGCAACTACACACGTAGTTGATTCTTGTATTAGTCACACTAGTTTAGTATGGGTGAGTGCCGTTTGTCTTGTATGGTTTTGGGTAGTCAGTGGAGGTTAGCTAGGGTGTTGAAGACGCCGAAGGCCGTGTGTTTCAGGTTTTCTTTTGTAGTCAGGTTAGCTTTCCCTCACTTTCCTAGCCAGCTTCATTTTGTTTGTTATTTTCTTTTCTTTGGCACCACTCTAGTTCCTTACCCCTGTGGGTTATTGTGTCCTATTTTGAACCAGTCACTTATTCAACTTTAAATCATCACTTTTGCACCAACCCTTGTTATCCCACTTCCTAGTTCCTCACCAGAACCCACCTGCTTTCAAACATTATTCTAAATGTTACACCCCTTTGCCCCTAGACACCTGGGGTCATAACATATGTATTTGCCTTAGTAATTTGCACTATTTGCACTTTGCCCTATGTGTATCCTGTCTATAATGTCTATGTCAGTGTCCTGTCTTGTTTTGCACCATAGACCAGGACAAATTATATTTTGTTCGACTATATACTTATATATGGCTGGAATAACAAATAAAGGTGAACTTGAACTTGAACCTTCATACAAAAGACTAGTTGATGAAGAACCTGATCCAGAACTGGTGCCATATTTTCACATAATTAAATTGAACCTTAAAAAAGCGTGTTTGATCATAATATGTTAGATGGCACATGTATGTACCTATCTGCTTAAAGTCTTTACAAATGGGTCTGTTTGTTTTATGTACAGTATGTAGAGCATTCAAATGGATGTTTTTCACAATAAAAACATGTGAAGCTAAACATTTAGTTTTTATTTTTGTATAAAGTATCAGTCTGCAAAATTTGAATAACGAAATAGAATTTAATCTCATTGTAACATCTCGGATGAAGACATGCTGTCACTAAACCAAGTGATTTCTGTTTCTGTATAGATACAACAGCTTCATTTAGCTGCTTACAGTATATCCTGTAAAGACATAGAAACATATGGTCAGTCTATTCAAGAGCAAACTGAAGAAATTGCAGTGGGTTTATAGGAGGTCCTTGATATTGTACAAACTACAGAAGCATACAGACGTGAATAAAGGCCTTGGAGAATAAATTAACCTGCAAAGAGTTAAGAGGGAGCAACAGTATTTGACATTCATCATGCTCATAACCGTGCTGCATTATCTTGATTGTTAGGAATTCTGGCTCCTAACAATCTGATGATACTTAAAAAATGAAATTTCCAGAATGGTTAGACATACTGTATAACCTTGCTCTCTGGGAGGTTAAATTGGTGATCTGTTCCATTTTTTTTAATTGGGTGAATTTCATAGGGTGAAATATTTTGCAAAAGCATCTCATCCAGCCCCTAAAAAAGCATTTTATGACCTCTCCTCATTGGGACCATCCACCCATCCATTTTCTAATCACTTTATCCAACAGAGGGGCATGGGGGAGATGACATCTGTTCTGGCAGGTGATGGGCGCATACACCCCTGATGGGAATCCAGTCCATCACAGGGCACAGTGACATAGACACACAGACACACACATTCACACTTGGGCCCATTTTCACAGAAGGCAATTAACCTACCGCTATGTCTTTGAACAGTTATCTTTAATAGTTAGGTCCTGGTAAAACAGATGTACAAAACATGTGATCCTGATTCCTGAATCACGTACCCATTCTATTTCTCCTTGTCCATCACCACTGGGGACACAAGTGGTTGCAACCATTTCACTCTCTCTGAGACTCTGATGATTTCCCTTCTTCTGTATTCTGGGACAAAGCTCCCTTTTCTGTGTGTGATAGCAGTACCTCTTTCCTTTACTGGACTGTATATGGACAAGCACTTAACATACAGCAATCCGTTTTCATGAAATGTATATTTGTATAAGTGTTCTACATAGCCTCTGTGATGTCCATATATTGGATACTCTGAAGAGCCAAATTGCACAGAATAAAAAGCAAAAATAAGTTTTATGGAAAAAACTTTTGTAACTGAATGTCCTTAAAATAATGAGGTGAGTAAAGAGGTATCTCCATTTACAACTTTGATGTGTATAAAACCAGTTTTGAAAAGAAACTGGATTGGAAACAGAAAAGTATTAGAAGCTCCTTGAGACATTATAAGAATTTCTAATTTGATAAGATCATGAACATGTGTAACCTTGGTTACTCAATAACATTACCTTCCATAGTTCTAGATTATCTACAGTATATTTATTAAATGTTTTTTTTTTTTCCTCCATAAGGCTGGCTTGTAATACACTTAAATGTTATCAGTATTTTTCAGGAAACATCCCAGTTAGTGTTGTGCCCTTAAAGCTGTTATCCTTTGTAATTATAAAAGTGAAGTACTACACAGTGAAATTTAATGTCCTTGTGTACTTTGCTAAGCATTTATGATATGTTTGTCCATCTTGACTAGCTTAAACAATAGATTTGTTTTAAATGTATTATTATTATTATTATTATTATTATTATTATTATTATTATTATTATTATTATTATTGTAGAAGGGAGTCTGTTTTATGTATCACTGAAGTATAGTAACCACCTGAGGGCCATGTTAAAAACCATTATGTGCCAATAGCCCCACAGAACAACAGAAGAATTGAGAAAATGAGCACTGCAAGGCAGGGAAAGAGAAAAGTATAAAGCATGACTTGTACTTACAATGATCATTTGGAACAGAACATTGAAGAGTACATGCAGCTGTTATTGCTAAGAACATTTACAAGTAAATTTAACAGCAACATACTTGCTTAAATTATTTTAAAAAGTCAATTGATTTGTTTTCTTTTGATGGGATTAATATATTAATATATAGTATATTTTGTGTTATTTGTGTTGGTTCTTCCTTTTTAAATTTAATTTCATAAAGATATTCAGCCATCCCTATAATGTTTGATAACATTATAAATACATGTGTATGTATTTAATGTTGTTGCATAGTCAGAAAAGACCACAGAATGCCTGTGAGAAATAACATTGCCAGTTCAGATAACAGACGTGTACATTCCAAGCTTCATGAAAGGTTTAAAATTTCTGCACTCTACACAATCAATACGTCAGATATGTCACTCATGCACTGTGAATTCAAAATGCATTTATTCTTCATGAAAAAAGTGTGTGCCATTAAATGTCGCACTTCTCAAACGCAAAATCTGGTGTTTTTCTACATGATTGTCCTGTGTTAGTTTCCAAGATTCCGCATCTCCCTCCTTCATTGTACTCTAAAAAATACGCATTCCCATTGTAAGCCCAAATAATAATAAAAACTGGGAACGTCCGTTACTGTCAAATGTATGATTGATACACCCCTCGCCCCTTTAACAATCTACAAAGGTTATACTGAGGGTTTTTGGACCAATAACCGCTGAGGAGGGCCGGTTTCTGTTCTTTGGGCGGAGTTTTCTTTTCTACTTAATGTGTAGTGGAGCTTATTTTATAGGTCGGTCACACTGGAGAGGAGAACAACAGGAGTGGATACGCAACAACACTGAAAACACAAATGGCACACGGGGACTTTTAAGCACTCACCTGGGGAAAATCTCAGGTATTTGCAAGGAGTTCGCCGGTCAAAATAAGCAAGTTTCATTTGTTTTATTTTTTTGTCTGTTTTCCCCAGTACGACTAGTAGGTTTTGTGCAGCGAAACGGCAAGCTATGGTCATTTTTAAATGAAATTCACCGTGCCTACTGTGATTTTAATTCGCTTGCCTTAAGAAGTAAGGTTTATTATATGCTAAGCTGTAACATTTTACGTAGTGGAACGCGAGCATTGTGTTCGTATTATGTTCCTTCGGCAATGTCATTAGTATTTTCCCGATGTATTGGCTTGATCTAAAAAAGTAGTTTCAGAAATGTGAGAAGGTCACCGCAAAAAAAAACCACGTTTAATTTAATAACGTAGTGTTATTTAAATAAAGAACATTGTAGGACTAGTTTTGCAGACTTAAAACAAGAGGATACATTTTCGTTTAATATTACATGTGCTTCATCCCGAGCAATTTGTTATAGTGTTACTTACTTGTTTTTTCTCCAAACAGTATTTCATGTCTTTGCCCTGCCCCGTCATTGATGGGAAATCAACTGGATCGGATCACCCACCTGAATTACAGCGAGCTGCCCACCGGAGATCCATCGGGGATTGAGAAGGACGAGCTCAGGGTCGGTGTAGCCTATTTCTTCTCGGATGAAGAAGAGGACCTGGATGACAGATCGCAGCCCGAGAATTACAAAGATCAGAGCCCCAGCAAGGACGGTCACTTAGTTCTCAACGAGATAGAATACTCCGCTTTCTGCTGCCAGGAATGTATTTTCTCAAAATTAAGAGAAAACGAAGATTTGAATATTTACTCTATAAAAACTTTGCTAACCATGTGCAAGCCGGGGGACTTGCTGGAACTCGTACATGTAGCCAACGATCAGCCCCCGCACTGGACGATTTATGAAGGGGATGATCAAGTGATACATTTGCACAAAGGGGAAATTCGCAAGGACAGCCTGTTTGAGATCAGCAATGGGCGACTGGGTAGAATAGTCAACAACCGGTACCGATACAGACCGCTTCCAGCAGATCTGGTTATGCAGAATGCCTGTGGGCACTTGGGACTAAGCAGCGGTGAGATCAGCTGGACAAACTCTGAAAGTTTTGCTGCCTGGTGCAGGTTTGGCAAACGGGAGTTTAAAGCTGGTGGGGAGGTTCACACTGCAGAGCAACAGTATTTTCTTAAAATCCACCTCTCGAAAAATAATGTGCATACCCTGATGTTTCACAGTTTGGAGGATTTAATCAGGGAAAGACGTAAAGTGGACGCCACTGGAAAGCTTAGATTGCTTAAGGAATTATCTATAGTAAGTGGGAAGGAGTAGGAACGTGCTAATGCTGTTCATCTTTAAAAACGGACCTGTTGAGACTTGCATGCCTTAAACAAGGGCTGCGCCTTTTTTTTGGAGCATTAACTTACCGAGGGTCATTTTTTTTTTCAAAGAAAAAAAAACGTTCCTTTGTATGGGTAGATTCGAGCTTTCACGCAGATTGTGAAAGTCTGCCCAACAGATTCACCTCGTACCTTTAAACACACTGAGCACACATTAGAATATTAGCATTTTCTGCTTCGCATACAATCATGTTGCTGTAGATGGTGCCTGTTTCTCACTGGCCCAGGTTTGCCAGCGTGCACTGTCAGTTGTTTTTTTTTTTTGGTTTTTACCCCTTGGTTAGATCGATTTTTTTTCCTTAATATTTAAACAGAAAGTGGCTCTTTGTTCTAGTAACTACTCGAAATGGGCACCCCTTTGTTTCTTGTATGCGATTTACGAATGGTAAATGGGTTACTGCAAGCATTGATTTAATATTAGCCATATATATATATATTTCTTTTGCTCTGGTGTCAGAAGATAAAAGTGTTCATTTGTTTTGGATCTCATATTTTTGTATTTGAGAAGTTAATATATCCTTTGTTTCATTGAAAAAATAAACATAGACTGCTAATAATAAACATAAATGGTCTTTTAACTCTTGTGTATTATCCATCCTGAAATGACTCTATTGAGTTATGCGAACCTAATTAAATGAATATGTAAGAAATAAGTAAACCCCCAAAGAAGTCTCTCCAAAACATGTGGTTAACTGACTCAGTAAGGGTTAACCTATGTACAAAAATCCTGTATCATTGCAAAGGATCACAAAATTTTAATATTCATATAGATGTGGTTATATTTGAAATTTGTGTTTCTAGATGATTATCATGCAGTGCGGTTGCTGATTATTAGTATGTGAATTTTTTCAATACACAAAAAAATTGTGGGACTCTTCAGAATTTTCTCTTATGCAGCTAAAAACTCTCAATGTATTGATTTTAAATTGCTTTATAAAAGCCTAACATAAGGATTCCAATTAATGGTATTGATACGTATGCCGTACATCTTAATGTGCAGTATCTGTATAATGTGAAGATAACTTGACTTTTGAATATACAAAAATACCAAAACAAACTAATTCAAAGTATAATGATTAAATAGACTAGTCTCTGCATGAAAATGAAATAAAAGGATGGTAGAGAGTACTTAATGATTTAAATTGAATCCTGAAATTAAAATTCTATAGAAGGAATCAAGCACATTGTAACCTAGACATAAAAAATGTACCTCTAGTTGGTTATTTTTCTATTTATTGTTGTGCTTACATGAACTCAATACACTATAATAATGAATAAGAGATTTAGACACTATTTTTTAAAAGCAAACATATGAATAGTTTAATAATGAAACTTATGTATTCAATGGGCCTTGTATATAAAGTATGTGCTTCTATAAAGAATATACTGCACATCTGATTTTCTATACCATTACAGATAACACATTTTTAAAAAAATAAAGCTGAAGATATGGTACAAAATTAAAAGAAAATACTGTATGCTCCTTAAGCTTCTTTGCTTTGATAGAAAGAATGAAAGAAAAATAATTTACCAACATTAGAGATCACCAACAGTAAAATGTAGAGCATGACAACCTCAGTTTTGATTTAGGCCCAAACTAGAGTAACAGCAGTGTTTGTTTTTTTTTTATTTGGTAGATAATTCTATTCCTGTGAGACTGTAAGGAGTTACAGTTTACAATCTTTCAAATCTTACTGTATTGTTCTGGGACCTTTAAATAAACAGAAATTAGGGCTCTATGTTTGATATTTGATACTATGATAAAAGTTATAGGGATGAAAAATATTTTCATTAACAGCTAAAAGTTACTAATTTAAGGTATATTTTTTCTTAAATTTACAACTATAGTACTCAATTGGATAAACACTTTATTAAAATATTTCAGGATTTACTAAAAAAATAAAAAGTCCTTTTATAACACTAACTAAACAGTTCATTATTTTGAACATATTTTTAAATGTTGATTTTTAAGAAAAGGTGCATATTTTAGTCATTTCTAATAATGATATGCACTGTAATAATACAGATTCCACAGGTGGATTTTAATTCAAGTTCAAAACCATTAGAACATTTATTTGGCCCTTTACATTGAAAGTGAATGGTTACACAAGGGTGTGTGTGTAATGTTTTATCACAGGTACTAAGTTGCCAGAAGTGAGTCATTGCAAATTAAAACATTTAAATGAAATGCATTTTTTTCCTGCATGGAACTAATTTATGATGTCTGTGAAAACTGAGTGAACATGCACTAACAGGCAACATACATACAATGAACTTTTTACTGTTGCAATGGGAAGAGGGTTTTGATTTATATTTCTCCTGTATAATCTTAAATGCATTTACAGTATTTTTCCTTTGTCTGAAAATAATACATTTGGCGTTGCTTGAAAACTTGGAAAAACAGGTTTTCAGAGCTAGAAAAAACAGCAAGAAGGACTTCATAGATCTTTCTATCAGAACATGTTCAAACTTGAAAATGCTCATTTGAATGTGAACTAGTGGCAGAAGAGTTGAACAGGTAAGTTGTGTTTTCACAGGCTCATTGTGGCATTAACATTTTTTTAAAGAATATATTGCAATATCTACATAAGGACATAAAGTACTGCTATAGTAAGATGGAGATCTGGTCTCTCAGGGATGTTAAAATGAAGGCCTGAAAGTGTGCCCTTTCACTGAAGGTCTTTTATATCAACCACATATTGTTGCTTGAACTGTGAAACATCAAGGCGTAGCTTTTGTATGAAGAACAAATGTGTCATACTGTATGTTTTGTTTCAGGTCGAAACAAGTTTTCAGGTTTTCAGTAAAGGTTCTTCCAGCTACATTCCTCTGTAGCATTAAAGAAATAGATAAGGGTTTCCCCACAAATGTTTTACCATGTGGGGTTTATGTAGTCTTCTCATTCTCATTTATCCATGATGACAAATTATAAAACACAAAGGCATAAAGCTGCCCAGGAGATACCGACTCCAAAGAACTTGCTCAAATCAAATTCTGCTGATGGCCATATGTGCATATCGTATGATTAATGAGATTAAACTATGAGGATTTACAGTATAATATTTCTGTGTTTAATGCTTCAGTTCATTCATTGAGTACAGTATTTTAGTTTTTTTTTTCCTGTGTTAACATTGGACTAAGAATGTTTGAACTGAATTCCCATATCCCAAAAATGTACAGTATATACCTTAACCTAATTAAAAATATGTTAATTCATGCTTTTAATACAGGCTACTACTCAAATAACAAGCAGCGCACAGAATGCAATATTTACCAGTGCCATCACTGATGAAATTAGAGTATATCCATTATTCTTGTACAAAAATACATTTCCACTATACAGTATATAGTTTGTCCCAGTAAATAATTACAGAAAATCTTAAATTACATTAGTTTCATTATTTAATTATGAAATCATATTTTTAAGTATGTCATTATTTATTAGGTAACACTTACTGTATTTCCTGTGTTTCCACAGATGATGATATACATTCTCACAACATTTTTCCAAATCAAAAATATGTTGTATAGTGTAACACCTTTGAGTATACAACATTATCTAGCACATCTTCTAGATTCTATACTTTGTAAATCTAAGAACAAAAGCCACATTAGTTAAAAATCCACTCATTTGAAACCATTTTGTACTTGACGGGATTGCCATCCAAACGCAATGTGGTAATACTCAATGTGGTCAATTTCTCTTATAGCACCATTGGTAAGAAGTATGCACTTTTATTCTTATTTTTTTCTGTGTTTTACATGACAATTGAAATTTCTATTTCCATTTGTTTATGTACATGTCTAAATTTCCACTGAGGGGGAAAATAAATTGAATTTCAAAATATAAAGTATTTGAAATCCTTTAAATGACTTAAATTTTATGGATTCAATTTGTAATTATCTTGATGGGGCAGAAGTTATCATCATAAAAGACATGAAAACTTGAATGACATCATCTACAGTATGCAAGAGTTTCACATTCTACCTACTTGAATTCTTTAATTTAAACATACATTTGAATTTGGATATGTCAATTTCTAGAATTAAAACTGAGGAATGCCTTTGTTACATAAGGAAACAGATAAAAACAGTAGCTTGCTTCCGTTTCATTCAAGATCTGAGAATCGTAACTAAGCTGTGCAATACCCATTTCATCACGTTGGTTAAAAATGGTAAAACATTTCCATCCTCACTATCACTATGTCTTCTTGTGGACAGATTTGCATGTCAGAATTTTAAAGTACTACAGCAGCTGCAACTCATAGAAACTACTGTATGGAAGCCATGAATGATAACAGAAAGATAAGCAGCAAAATGTCTTGATAACAATTTGAAAGAACTATGTAATGAGATGGCCTTCTTGTACACTATTGTTAAATTTGTGGTGTATTCATTAAGTTTTGATTACATCTTTTAAGAAGTTAGATTTATTTTTTCATGGACAGCTCAAAGCTTTATAATTTTATGTGTTTTGAGATATTCTTTATGTACTGTACATCTCAAGTATAGAATTGTATTTTTGTTTAATTCTTGAAATAGAAATAAGAAACCTATGAGAAAATGGTAAAATCCATCGTAGAGTCTAGTAGTATGAAAATAGTAGTCTAGAAAGTATCCAATTTATAATTGAAGCTATATTGTCTGCTAAAAAGCCTACACACTGGGTATACTTATAGTGCCCTTCAGATGTATTCAATGATAAAATATGTAACAGAAGAAGATGTATACTGGATAATATGTCTGGCTTAAAACAATGCCAAAAATATTTAACTGTGACTGAAATAACTTTGCACGGATAAAAGTCATATTTCTCATAAATAATTGAATTGCAGAAAACATGATGTTCATATTTATTCACAACTCTTAAGTATTTGTTCAAATAAATTCCATAAAAACAATAACATTCAGCTCTTTGGAAGTGCAATGGAATACTCCAGAACTATGTCAAGACCTCCACAGCTTTCCTGTTTACTTTGGGTATAAAAAGATGTAACTCACAGAATATATTGAGTAGTAGTATACATCATCACGTTTAAGATCAGAGAGCCTACCTAATGACTGAAGGTAAGTTATACTTGACTTCCACAAGTTGGGGGATGGCTATAAAAACACCTACAAAAATTGTGGCAATCTTTTTTGGAAGAGGATGTAAGTGTATCTTGCCAACATAGGCTGTGAGACAAGTGATATGAGATGCAAGCAAAAATCCAAAGACAATAGAGATCTTGAGCATAAAATAAATGTTCTCAGCTAGCCACCTCAATCTCCAGACCTCAATCAAATTGAACATGATGTGGTTCAATCTCAAGATGGCTCCTGGAGCAATTCTGCCTATTGGAATTTTCATCTCTCTTCAGAAATGCCAGAAACGCATAGTAGAATACAGAAGAGCTCTTATGCTAGGTGAGAATTTAAACAATACTACATACTCTAGGTGTGGATGAATGTGTCCCTTATGTTTTTGGTGGACACAAGGAAGAATACTCCCTGGTTTGACACACACTCACACCAGGGCCAATTTTCCCATATGCCAATTAACCTACCAGTATGTCTTTTCTGGATTTTGGGAGAAAAACAGAGCACCTGAGGAAACATGTGAACACAGGAAAAAATACAAACCCCAAGCAGAGCTCTGACAGACAGCAATTCTAACCATTGTGCTACTGTGTCACCCTCTTCAATGAATTCAAGTAAAGTTATTTTAATAAAAATGACAGGTGCTCAGGGTTTAGTACTTAAATGGTATTTGAAATCGTATTTAAAATAGACAAAATAATTAAAAATATGCATTCCTTTCAAAAAGATATCACATATACAGTAGTACAACCATGTCACACTTGAGTAATGAAGATCACCTGCTTGCTATCAGAATTGAAGAAATGTTCTACTCTTCAACAAAGAAACCAAGAAATCAGTTCTGTGAGGGACAAGCTGAATTCTGGAAGCATTATTACACTGGTCCAGGACCACCACAACTGTTTGATTAATCTGCAACATTTTCTGGATGTAGTGACTGGAACAAGAGAAAATCCAGTAATGAAGAAATAACCTGTGTATCATCAAATTGACTGTAACTCTGTGTGCATGTTTACTCAGAGATCGTAGGATAACTACTGAGAATTGAAACGGATAGCCAGAGAAAATCTCCAGTGGTGAGAGAGTGGCAGTGTGTCTTAGATAGAAAAATGCTTCTTAAAAGCTGTTATGCCATTGACAGACTTGAAGGACAACATGAGTAAATGATTATCATTATTCTGACTGTTGCATTATTCAAGACAGTTAGTTGTGCAAAGATGAAGGGAGATATCTTATTGAACACAAGAATACATACCTTTGGTGCAGATCATGGGCAGCTGCATTGCTGAATAATACATTGTCAAAGTCCTTTAGCCAATACTTTTAATTTTCCCGCAAGCCAATCTAGAAGTGTCGATTTTACAACAGGACAAAGAAAGACCACACAGTGCAAGGAATACAATAGTAAAATTCCTAGTTAGTAATGTTGAGGTCTTGCAATGCTCAACTTCTTCTCCTGAACTGAGTCAAACATAGCATCAATTGGAGCAAACTGCCAATACCATCAAAAAAGGACAATTAGAATTTGCTCAATGTGTGTAGAAGCACAGAAAAGATGGTGAAATATACCAAAGCAATCTATCCTAAGGTAGATAAAACTTTCTATCCCATCAACTCTTCTATCTTTCCCTCATAACCTTTTACTTTTCAGTATAGAGATAACTTCCAGTTTTTCCTTCACAGTTTACTCACTCACAATACTTTCCATTTGAACCTGAAACTACAGT